TAATCTTCATTCCCTGAGAATGGTTTTGCTGGATGTGGACTTCTCATCTGACGGTTCTTTTCCTTTAATACTTAAAAAACATAGTGCTATGTTTTTCTGTTCTTTCATCATTTTGGATGAAAAATCCACTGTTATGCATATTGATGTTATCTTATAGGTAATGTTTCATTTCTTTCTGGCTGCCCTCAACTTATTTAAATCTTTACAGAAAAGAAAATACTGCATAGGATACATGTATGATGTGGATAGGGTACCTACCATTAGAAAATAGACTGTGCCTTTTTAAAACTATATTCATAGTTGGGTGAATAACTCAGGTAAGACCTGTCTTACTCAAAGTAGTAATGCGTTTTCTATGATGACTCACCCATTTTCATAAAATCCTTCTCAGTTCTGTCCCTAACATCTGAGGGGATTGAGAAGGATGGAGAAGTACCTTATGTTGAACCTTTTCAGACCCCAAATTGGAGCTATCACTTTTTTAAAAAAGATTTATTTATGCATACATGCAGATCTGGGATACAGGCCAGAGGTACAGCAGCAGTGAGAGGATTCACCAGAGGCAGAGTGGGGAGCAGAACAGGCAGATCGAGGAAGTACATCACTGAGGGGAGTAGCGGGCAAGTCAGAAGTCTGCAATGCCTTGAGTCACCTCCCTGGCCAGGGGTCAAACTCCCTCTGAAGCGGTTGTGGCTAGCTTCTTAGTGCTGCACTATAACCTGTGGTGCCATCAGGGAGGGCCAGAATTACCACTTTTTATCAAATCATTATCATTTGTTAATATGAGATTTTAAATTTTAATTAAACAAGAAAGAAATAAGAAAATACTTGGGCTGTAATTTTTACAAATGAACACAAATTGTTCTAAACACAAATGAAGGAAATGAGAAAATATTTGGGCTGTAATTTTCAACTTCAGTGTTATTTACTTTGCAAAAATTACCTTTCAAAATGATTTCCTTAACAATTTGGTCAGAAATCCTAAACAAATTCATAGATGTATGTGGAAAGGTTAAGGACTTAGAGGAAATATGAAAACGTTAGTGAGGCATGCTGCTTGCTGTTTTTCATAGTACTTATTGCTTTGAGTAGATTTATTTCCTTTCTCAATCTCTCCCATCTTCATAAAGGAAAACCTTTTGCTATACTGTGAGAAATGTGATTTGTAATAGTGTCATTATTTTAGAACTGAAAATACTGTTTGGTCTTCTGGGAAAGTAAATGCATCAGAATTAACTTGTAGCTCTGGAGGCCAGTGGGTTGCTATAACAACGAGGAAGATGGTGCAGTAATAGCTTACCCTGAAAGCTGAATGATGAGCTCTGTATATGCAGGTGTCTGTCATGTAAATGCACACTTGCACAAAATACATTAATTTATTTCTTCTTTCATGAGAATGCTATGTCTGGTTCTATTCTAAGAATTGGCAAAAAGGATATATGGCTCCTCTTATGATGAAATGCATATTCTAGTGGAGGGGACAGATAGTAAGGAGCAAATAAATCAATACATTAATAATTCCAGCATGTGAGAATGCAAATAAACATAGGTTTTATTTACTGAACAAAGTAGAGAGTAATTACTCCCATATAGGATATGGATGTATAGTAATAAAAATGGAAAAAAAACTATATATACTATGAAATACTATTCAATGAAAAAGATGAACTTTTTTTAGATCTATTTATTTATGCATACAGAACTGGGGTACAGGCCAGAGGTGCAGTGTCCATGAGAGGATTTACCAGAGACAGAGTGGAGAGCAGAACAGGCAGAGCTCCCAAGGGGAGCAGTGGGTGAGGCAGGAGAGGTCTGCCATGCCATGTAGGTCAGCTCCCTGGCCAGGGATCAAACTCGTGCTAAAGCGATTGCGGCTAGCTTCATAGTGTTGTGCTTTAACCTGTTGCACCATGAGGAGGGCTTCTTAACGTTTTTAATTGTCCTTCTGGCTGTTTTCTTTCTTGTAAACTAAAGTTTGTTCTATTGGCTGAATTAGATTCAAGTTCAACATTTTTTGGCACTATATTTTTTTTCTAAAAGATAAGAGCTTTCCTTTTATAAAAACTTGTAATTTTACAGCTGTATAGGGAAAAGTCCAATTCTTCCTTCCTGTGTCCTATGGTCACAGTACTACCCTACTCTCACAGAATTCTCCACTTCTGACATTTCTGGCCACCTAGAGGAAATTTCTTTTTCTTCACACCAAGAGTAATTCTCCACAATGTTAACTGAGTGGGCTACAGTTTAATTCAATTCTGATATTATTTATGTGTAGGTAGTATCAGATCCTACAGGTTAAAATGGACTCAATCCCACAAAACTTCTCACCCCACAAAATATGCCATTTCTTAGTAGTAAGTACCCAGGTTATCCAGAACTCCCATCAAATTTGACTGCAAAATAGATGTTCCCACAACTCCCTCTTTGTATTGGAGTTTTAGATAGATAATGGAGTTCACTGCATGGGACTCTTTGATCCCACTGAGAAATAATTCAGCAGATTTTCCCCATTCAGCAGCACACAATAAGTTAAGAGAAGTAAGGAAAGAGAAGTGCAGACACAGACACACTCTTAAAAGAAGATCTGCATTTAGAAAGTGTTAAGTTTAAGAAAAAGACAACTGCATCGACACAGATGAGCACAGAGCTGTATTTTGCAGCCAGGGGTGTTCTTTTACAGTATTCCTTCAAAAATACTGTGGAATTTATTGCTTTAGGGTGAGGTTGGGTTGGTCTTCCATGACTGATAATCCTTCTTGCTCCTACCTCTAGTTGATAATCTTTTCTCATCTCATTGCACTTTCTGGACATTTCTATAGTGATTTAATTTAAGATTCATTAATCACCCCTACCCCTACCTCTGGTGTTTATCCTTGTGAGATCTTACATACTTTTTTAAGCCTTCATTTCTTGGGTGTGATTAATTTGCTAGTGCAGCTCACCAAAATACATCTTCCAGTGTGTTAAAGATATGATCAAGGATACAGGTATTAATTTTTATTTAAGCAAGGCCTTTGCACACAGCTACATGTTTATTTGTCCTTGCATTTTTCCAAGTGTGTTTATCAGTGTCTTCATAAACATGTGATTGATAACTTAAATTACTTTAGTTGCACCTACTTTTCCACCAGTTGGGATCTTTATAATCTCAATACATATAACATCTCTATTAGGATTATTGCAATATTAACATATGACTCAAGAATTTTTGTAAGTTCTTCAATATTATTTTCTTTTATCCCACAGTTGTCATATTAGAACTGTGAGACTTAAATTTATGTTCTCTAGAGGGGAGTAAATCCATATTTGGCTTGTGGCTGATATGGTACTATTTCATTCATTCTATTCTTACCATATTGCTGCCCACAGCAGTATTCTAATAGAAACTTCTTTGCAAAATACTGCCAATGACCTTCTTACTGCCTAATCAAATTTCTGTGATATGACATGATTAACTCTACCCTGAAAGTAATAGAAGATGTGTTATTGAGTTGAAAACTGTTCTAGAAGACTGGGGTCCATCCAGATGGGCACCCTCTAAGGATCTGCATGTACTTCAGAATAGCCCCTTTCTTTTTCTTCAATATTTATTTATTTATTTATGTATAAAGAAGTGGGGTATAGGCCAGAGGTGTAGGGGCAGTGAGAGGATTCACCAGAAACAGTGGGGAGCAGAACAGACAGATTGATGAAGTACACTGCTGAGGGGAACAGCTGGCAAGACAGGAGAGGTCTGCCGCGCCATATGGGTCAGCTCCCTGGCCAGGGATGGAACTTGCACTAAAGCAACTGTGGCTAACTTCACAGTGCAGCGCTTTAATTCGTTGTACCACCAGAAAGGTCCCCAAAGGATTTTTTTTTTTTAGTAATGTAACAATTTATTTTTACATCATTTTGTGCCTTTTCCACCTCATTTGTAATCCCCGTGGGCTTCCCATCACCAAATCACCCGTGTGCCATCACCATAGCCCAGTGCATTTCCCTCCAACACTGTTTTTGATCCCATTTCCCACTTCACCCCCATAAAATGTCTCTGGTATGTAGTTGTTCATTATTATTATTATTATATTCTCCCCCGGTCCTTTATACTGCTACTATGAGTGAAACCATCCAGTATTTTTCTTTTTCTTTCTGGCTTATTTCATTAAGCATGATCTTTTCCAGCTCCATCCATGTTGCTGCAAAAGGCATGTGCTTATTTTTTTTTGGTTGTTGAGTAATATTCCATTGTGTATATGTACCACATCTTCCAAATATTTTTAATACCAAAATAAGCCCCTAAGTGCTATTTATCAGTTTTTAACAAACCACACAAACTTATACAGCTCAAAGTGATGTCATGATGTCAGTTCTGCTATTTCCTATTTAAGAATGATGAACTAATAATTAGGGAGCTTAAGTTAACTCATTTGAAGTCTCTTGAATAAATAGTGATAGAGAATGTAAATATAAGCAGTCAGACTCCAGAATACATTTAACCACAAATATCGATAGGTCATTATATGAATCTTCATCAGCGTAGAATATCCTGTTTCCTTTCCATAACAGAAATTTATCTGCAGTTGTATTCTTTAATTTTTAACTGGGGTAATATTGGGGTGTAACTGTATTTTCAAAAAGTTTTTTGAAACTAATGAAATAAAAATTCCACTCCAGTCATTTTTGTGTTGTCTAAACATTTTCACTGTATTACAAATATATTCAATCAAAATTGTTATTCCAGTTACCTTTTTCAACCTCTACATTAACCCTATTTTTATCCCACTTTAAAAGATGTTAACTGATGTTCATGGTTATCTTCTGTCACACAGATACTAAGTAGCGGAATTTTGAATTCAGATTATTTGATAAAGTGGACAGTAGACTTAACCACTATGCTCCACTGCCTACAAATTATTCTTCACTCCCCAGTTATTCACTACTCCTAATAAAACACAAAATGAAGTACTGATTTTAGAACTGCTATGTAATATTTTTAAAAACATTTTATTGAAATAACATTGGTTTATAACATTATATAGTTTTTAGATTACAGCATTATAAAGCAACATCTGTATATACTACATTTTGTTCACCACCAAAAGTCTACTTTCTATGTTGACTATATTTTTAAAAGATTCCACATAGGTAGAAGCTCTTTTCCAACCACCTGTTTAACAGCTCATTATGAGATAAAGAATTTTTGCTGTGATGTCAGCAGTTTGAAATATCTGGATAATATACAAGACCTAATAAATACACAGCCTTCCTAGACAATAGTCATATCGTATATCATCTGTCTCATTTCTTTCAATCATTAACATTTAGTTATTTCATGAAGAAATTTGCACTTCAGAAGTGTCAGTTTTGCCTTTGTTCTGAGATACCATTAATATTCACATCCCTTTCAGCTGGTAAATATATATTCTTCCTATAGCTTTATTTCAGGAACGGCATTTCCCCTTACAAACATTTGAGCAACATGCCTTGTGAAATTTTTAGAACTGTTCTTGGGACATTGTTGTAAGTGTTCTCACCATAGCGTGTGGAAGAACTTCAAAAGTGTCATAATACCCTTGAAATTATGAAAACATGAACATGTACATTTTCCTGGGGAATGGGTCATAGGCTTTCATCAGATTCTCAAGATCCAGTTATCAAAACAGGAAAAAACAAACCACTGCTCAACTAGAAATAGAAAGGAACTCTAACTTAAATATAATTCCACAAACAAGTTATTTACTAGTCTTTTATCCTTTTGAAAACACCAGGTCGTTTATCATTTGATTTTTTAACTTGGATTCTCTGAGTTTTTCAGACTATAGGCAAACAGATTAAAAACAAACAAATATAACCAGGATCATTCTAATCTTACCAATAATAGTACTGCTATTTACATTATCGTGAGCATTTGCTAAAAGATGTGCCAACTAATTCTAAAACTAAGACAAGGTACTTTCCTGTCAACAGGGCATTTCAACACTGCCAGTTGTATCATTAACTGTGCAACAAGAGCTTTGTACATTTAGCAGAGACAATAAATTAAGAGGTCTGAAAGTCTGGGTTCCACTGCCACTTCTGTTTGTAACTAACAATGTACAAATCACTTATCTATAAAATAAAGGTTAAAATTTATTCTCTGTTCTCAAATATATCACAAAACCAAAATCCTTCCCAAGAAAACCTCTTTTTAAACCAAAATATCACTGCCATTTAACTTATACCTAACTCAAAAGTTGAGAATGACAAACTAGAGAATCTTGTCTCATAAATTGGTTGCATACTTTAATTCTTCAGATGGATACTCTGAAGATTATCATTGGCCTATTTCAAGCATACAAAACAAAGCAAGATGTTACTGGCCAAGAGAAGTTGGCCAAAAAAAATAACACTGTTAAATAGTTATCTATGTTAATTTAGAGCAGTACTTATAACATCCCTGACACTGAAGGGAACAAAAGTTAACCTTAGACTAAAAAGCAAGTTTATACTCTAGAAGGAACATGTATTGCCATGGCAAGAATTTAACTGTACTAGAAATAATGTTAAACAGGAATGTCTGGTGAACTCTTCAAATGAAAATCAAAGCGGTTGAAAAAACAGTTTGTAAACCTTTTCTTTTCATTCAAAATTTAGTTTACCACCTCTAAAGCACACTTCTCAGTGCAAAGCCAGTGTGTAAGAAATGACAGCATTTGATGACTGTAATGATTGGAGAAAAAAAACAGAGTAATTAGCAAATTATTGAGCAAACTTTCAAGAAGATAATTCTAAGTAGTTATAGAACAATTTATAAACCATAAACATGTGTAAAAGTACACTATTTATCATGTATTTGTATTGTGACAATCAAATATATTAACAGAGTCTCAAAATGTAAGCAATTAATATATATTCATATATTCAACAATGTCAGTTTTGTGCAATTTAGTCTATTTCTGGACACTACTTTACATTAGGGTGACATAAAACAAAAAAAAAGAAAAAGAAAAACCAGAAACCAAAACTGGATCATGGTTCACAAGTAACCTAGGGAAATAACCATGTACCACTGCTTATTAAAATATTTAAGAGATGCATACCTTCACTATTGGCCCCAATGTTATCATCCACTTATGGATGTTTTTTAACTGCTTATTTTTAATACAAAAACAACTTCAAGTTGTACAATAACTTACAAAACTGGTAGAATCTGTCAATGCTATACAAAACAGTTCTATGCACAGCTTTAAAGGTTTAATGTTCTCTTCTGGCACTTAATTTTAGAGTTTGATAGACACAGTAGTTACTGATTTCTGTAAAATACTTTTAGCTATTTTCACGACTAACATTGCCTCACAAAAACATTAAAGAATAAATCACTTCTTGCTAAAGAATCCCTTAGGATGAACAGCAAAAGTGTACACTCAAAATATTTTTGGAAGGTATATAATCTTTTAAGTAAGATAAGGCATGAACATGAGTGAAATCTACATTACCTGGTCATATGTCCAGTGACTAAAATGATTGTTTCTCTGACTCCATGAAGCCTGTATCAGGTATAAATTAAAAATATGAATTTATAAAAACAAATTACCTATGGAGGGAGGACTAGAAGATTGTTTAAATAATTAGTGACACTACTAGACTGAATATTTTAATGATGGAAATGCATCTAGCAAATACACATATCATATTTCAAAATTAAAACTGACATTTCTAGAACAGTGGAATTTACTTTCAGTTCTTAAGATCATTCTGCACATAAAAATGAAGTCACTATTCAATAACCTTTACATATAACTCTCCAGGTTTTTTTTTTTTTTTTTTCCAGAAGGGAAGAAACCAAACCAGAACTTAACAAGCTATATCAATTTAGAATTAAAAAGTTATATTTAAAATTTGGGAAATCTACCACTTTCATTATTCTAAAGGAACAATATAAACCTTCAAATCCTACTAACCTTTAATCCAATTTTATAAAATTTAAGAAGTTAAATTCCTAGCATCACTAAGTAGAATTTAAAAGTTAATAGAAAATTGAATTAGATAATAAAAATATAAACTAATTAAAACAACTTGCACAATAAATGGTGAAAAGAAACCCCAAGTATTCTAATCATTTAGATAGTTCATCTTTTGCATATTTTAATCTCACTTTTGAGCATAGTAAATTATTCCATAGGCTGATTTTGTGGATTGTTTAAATTTTGTAACATTTCATTAGTAATCCATTGTAACCCTTTATAAACCAAATGTGAGTCCTAATCAACTTTTTTCCTTAAGATACATTTCACAGCAGTAATAACATCTTAAGAGTTTCAAAATATTTACAAAGAACCCTGCTGATGATCCTGTGCATTTAGCTGAGGAGCTACCTGTACCCAAACTTCATCATCTGAAAAAGAACTTGAACTTCCTGACTCAGAGTCCAGTTCACTGAATCCATCTAAGTCCCACTCAGTGCTAGACTCACTCCGTGCATCATCCTCCTCAGTGATGAAACTCTGACCAGGTTCAAGGCAGGAAGGATAGACGCGAGCACAGAGGCAAATAAAGCCAGAGTCAAACTGCAAAAGACCTAACATGGTACCTATGTTAACCCACTGGTCTTCCCTAGTGTCATATTCATACACTGTCACCCGGTTTTTTTTCCATTGTGGGGTGGTTGAAGTGATAAGCAGCAACTTTTGGCCATGATTGACGATCTGGTAGTTGTGGGTCTCTGAGTCCAAGGGAATATTACTAATCTGTCTCCATTCTCCCCTGGCTGGGTTATAGACTTTCATGACAGGGATGTCACAGATACAATAGATCTCATCATTGAAGACACAGGCTTCCTGAAAGTCACTTCGTTTAAGAGAAGCACAATTTAGCCACAAATTATGGCTAGGATCATAGCAAAGCATGCGCTTACTATTGACAGCATAAAGATAGTTCTGAACCACTATCAGTTCAAAAGAATAGAAGGAATGGGGTACAGGTGCCACCAGTGCCCACTGGTTCCTCTGAACACTGTAGCATTCCACTTCCTTCAATTTAACTCCAGTGATAGGGTCTCGCCCACCCAAAATGTAAATATAGCCATTGAGATATGCCACATCCATGCCTTCCCGGCACAGTAAGCGGTCTGCAAGTTGCTGCCAACTGTTCTGGGCAGGTTTATACACCCAGAGGTCCTTCCTTGGCTGGGCAGCTAGATAAATGTCATGGTCTGGAGAAACACAGACAGCTGAGGAGGTGATAGTCTTAGTGTGAGCCAAGCTGGTCAAAGGTGATGGCATTGTATAAATATCTCCAGAGTATGGGTCGTAACAGAGAAAGGGGTCTCTAGGGTGTCCAAAAAATATCACCATCTCCTTGGCGCACATACCCAGCCTCTGGGGTGGATTTTCTGCTGCAGATACAACAGAGTTGCTGCTGGTCTCTGGTTTTGGCACCAGAGACTTGCATAACCTGTCACCATAACGCAGCTGCAGGGCTCCTTCGATAAGGTCAAGGCAGTACTTCTTCACAATGGTATTGGTCAGCAGCCCTTCCAGGTAAGTCTGATCCTCATCAGTGAAGTGTGCCCAACGCACACACTTGAAGACTTCTGCAGCACTGGGACCCCGCTCCTTGGGAGCTGCCTCCAACCACTGCACCGCCACATGACATACTGTCCGCTCACTATCGATGTCCAGACTGTCCAGGCGTAGGACAGTCAGCATCTGGGCCAGGGTCAGGTCTGCCAGAGTCTCCTCCCGAATCGAGCCCATGCGGCTGAGCTGCTTGAAGTTGTGGGCTATAAAGGCCTGGGCCTGTGATCGGAGCTTGTGATGGTCAAAGGCATCCGCGAACTTGAGGATGGCAGTGCAGTTGGTCAGGTCAAGGCGCCGGGCTAGGAAGGAGGCACAGGCTTCCCGCACATATTCCAGCTGTAGCATGTCAGATGCCGCATAAAGGCGCTGCACGTTGGCCTCACTCAGGGACACACGACCCGTGTAGCAATAGTCCACCAACACCTCAAAGGACTCGGCGTCCACGTCGTGCATGGTCACGCTCGCCTGCTGGCTCTCGTACATGCCGCCAGTGAACATGCTCTTGAAGTAGGGACACGCGGCAGCCAGCACGTTACGGTTGCAGAAAAAAAGGCGGCCGGTGCCAGGCCCACTGCCAGGAGTGACCACCTCGATGGTCACATCACACAGCAACCGTGCGTCGTAAAAGGACTTGAGCTGTGCCAGCAGGGCGGCCGAATGGGCCGCATCTTTCAGCTCCTCTGGGCCAGTGAAAAAAGCTGACACCGATGGTTTGGAAATCCTCTTGGGCCTCCTCCCACCGCGGGGACTGGCGAGACGGCGAGAGCGCGGAGCCTCTTCCCGGGACTGCATGTTGGAGATGGCGGCGGGGTGCCGAGGACTAGAACAGGTGCACGGAATGGACTCTGACTCCTCTCTCTGGCGCTAAGATCGCCTCGTCCCTTAACAGCCTCCAGCAGGGGCCGCACTAACTTCAGTCCCAAGCCACGGTGTCGCCTCCTTTTATCGCGTAGCCCGTGTCTGACTCACCCTTTTCAGTTCCGCGCCCTTTCTCTGCCTCGGCTCGCTCTCACGGGAAACGCTGGCTGGGGCCCAGAGAGCCGCCACTGCAGCGCTATCAAGACCGGTAAGAGACCAGAACCACGATTCCCAGGCTGCTTTTCGCGTCTCGAGGTATGCTGGGGCCCTCCAGACCCGTGGATATTGGCTGGCATCAGAAGCCGCTTTGCATACTGGGAGTTGTAGTTTGAGTGTTATCGCGAGGTTTCCTGCAGGGTAGCGGGCTTTAGCTAACAATTGGAAGACGTTAATTCTCGGTTGGTGGTTTTAGAGCTCTTGTTTGGGAACCGCGTTTTAGTATCCGTCTCTCTGAGAGCTTGTCTCTCTTTGTAAAATAGGGATAATAGTATTTCGTAGGGGTGTTAGGGAATGGAATGAAATAAATTGCATAGATTGTATGGGGCTTCAGTAACTATTCGTTGCAACAATAATTGTTTACACTGCCCTAAAATAGAAGGATTCAGTGTTAGCTTTTGCTACTTGTGGAAGGTGAAACAGCGCAGGCAATTTCTGCGAAGAAAACGTTCAGTTTTTAAATGTTGCATCTTGAACGTTCTGAAGGATAGTAATAATATTTTCAATATTAAAGGATAGCTGTGGGATTATAAGGAACTCTTAGACAAGGTTGAGGTATTGGAGAACGACTTTAATAGATGCACATTTGCAAATCAGGTACATAAACAGGCAAGTTGGACATCCAGCTTTCATTAGGGAGCAAAGATTTTTTTTTCATTAAGCTATTATGAGCGTTTTCAAATTAAGTTTAATTTCCCTTCCATCCCATCCATTGATACTTATTGGAAGTGTCTTTATTAAGAAGTTTTAAAGGAGAATTTTAAGTAATATGTAAAATGATGTCACAGAAGCATAAGGTCAGTATTAATGTGTGCCCTCACTTTTCTTGAATTAATGTAGTAAGTCTATACTTTACAAAGGTGTTTTACCTACGATCAACATTTTTCCGTTTTTAAATTGTTAAAATCGAGTGCTTAGGGTTTTGTTGTTGTTGTTGTTAAAACTTGTATTTCAGCTTCATTTGGAGACCTGTTCCTGCTCTTTGCCATGTGGTACCATAACCTAATGAATTAAACCATCAATGTTATATGAACAGGCAGATAATGCAAAAGAATAACTATCCATTTTTTTTTCTTTTTACCTATAAACTGAGGAAAGTCTATTGTAAATAAGTATATTAGACTAACTGGATTCTGGGTTCCAGTATCTTTTCTGTATCCCTCAGATACACCAGATATAATTCAGTCATCATTAGTAACACCAATTGTTTTCTCACCTGCACTAAACATCAGCAAAGGGAAAAGCAATTTTTAAACTATTTTATATTGCTAAAATATACATAACATCATTTACAGAATTAATAAATTTAGGTGTATATATTTCTGGTGTTAAGTAATGCACATTGTTTTTGCAGCCATCACTCTCATCTATCTCAGGAACTTTTTTCATCTTGTAAATCCGAAACATTATCCACACATTTATAACTCTCTTTCCTCCTTGTCCAGATCCCCTTAAAACACTATTCTACTCTTAACTTTGAATTTGACTATTCTGTAAGGCAAACAAGAACCATTAATTGATGTTAAATCAATTAGATGAAAGGTCACTGGATATACAAGTTATATATTTTGATATTGTTACAGGACAGGGAGAGAGGGAGAAACCCCTGAAACCCCAAAACCTGCCTGCTCTAAGTGGGTTCTGTCATCCATCGCAACAAGACAAAACATATAAAACTTTAATGAAAAGGGACTTTAACACAGTAAATATACAATATGGAACACAAACCCATATAACAAATAACTTCTAAATCAAACACCTAAAGTTACCCATCCCCCTCGTGGGCAAAAGTCAACCCAAAGTGATGGGCCCAGAGCAAGGCCTGAAAGCTGCCACAAGACTAAAGCACCTTCTGGCGGGGACCCATGGAAAAGGGTCAGAAATGGCCAGACAAATCTGGGAGGAAAAGAACAAAATCAAAATCAATATAAACACTGCCATAGTCACCTCCCTACAGGTATCTCACCCACATCTGCCTTAACCAGTCCAGGGTCAGGAAACAAGCACAGTTTCCTCATCACATGCTTGCTGCTCCTTTGGCTTCCTCAGGTCTCCTTCTGGCTCTCCAGCCAGCTTCCTTCTCTTCTTCTCTCTTCTCCTTTTTCTCTGCTCAGCTCCACCCTCCTGCCCCTTGGTGGGGCAGGGAACCTGGAACTTCCCTTTTTCCTAGGGACCACCCTGTTACATGGTCACCATTGTTTGCAGGTGAGAGTAGCCTTTCTGGTTGTCTTGATACCATTTAGATCTCAGAAAACTCAGTGTTTTTTTCCTTGTTCTGTCTTGAGTTTTCAGAGGTTCCCATGTTTTCAGAGCATTGACTTCTCAGAATGATTTACAGATAAAACTTCATTTCTTTTTTCTTCATCCTTTTCAGGTAAGTGGATGATGGGAGACTGTCCATCCCAAATTTAAGGTTGATGGCTTTGTTTCCCGATTTGATCACTCTTTTTTGCTTATCTTCACACTGGTTCTACGCACAATCTTTCCCTTGTGTCAGACATTAGCTTACATCATGAGCTACTTTGGGAAGCCCTAGTAAGCCAGCTAGCAGAGTAGTGGGTGTTTTTCCCTCCCCTATTAAAATAATAGCAATTAAAGTCTATTTAGTTTTGTATCTTCAAAGCCTTTTGTAAATTCTCAGCCTATTTATAATATACTCTCAAGTGGCCTGTATTATTCAGTTTATATGTAAAAAAGTGTTGGGTGGAGGGGTGGAGATAAGAACAAAAAAGAGATTACATTGTTTGCTTATCTTGGTAAATTAGGGCTGACAACCTTTGCACCAGGTACTTGATTCAGTTATTACCTCAGCCTGACTTTCTAAATGCAGACCAATTTGTGTTTTAGAAAATTTGTAATTCTCACCATAAATGTTGGGCATGTTTGCAGTAGAGATGCAGGCTCTATTAATTAGGATTTATTTCTGACCTTTTTGGACTTCTTTTATAAAGGGACTAAAAAATATAACTGATTGTATTGGACTTGATTCTACCAAATTATTTGCTTTCATTTTGCCAGGTGATTAATAATTGATTCTGCTTCACAGCAACTGTAGTTTCCTTTGCACTCTCAAAACTCAAGGTGCCAGACTTCTTTGTGTGAACTTCCATTTCTTGTGCATTCTGGTTATTGTTGGTTCCTAACCTGGCTTATAAATCAATAAATAGTGATCCTGTCTTGATAATTTTTAAATTAAAAATTCCTTAATTTAAAAACTGATACCACCATCATAATTTATAGGACAATATACCTGGTATAATGAAAAAAAAAAAAAGGCAACAATAGATAGATAGATACCTCAGGACTATACATCGATTGGCACTAATTGCATTAGTCAGTAGTTCCACTTTTTTGCCAACTGTAGCTTTGTCTGTCCTGAATGAGGATGTCCTGTTTAGGCTGTAGTGATTTTTCTATGGATCATTATTCCTTCCTTGGCAGATTTCTACAGGTTCTCTAATGCATTTGGAATGACAGCTTCTCACTCTCTCCTGCTAAGAACTACAGCATTTTCTGCCAATTTTTTAGATCCTTCTACTACCATAGTACACTACTTCCACAGACACATCATTAGCACCACAAGAACTGCCTGATTCTTCCACCAAAACTATCCCCCTTTGTCGGTCTATAATTTGATTGCTATTATCCACTCAGGTTCCCACCACCATCGTTACCACTGCCAAAATTTTCTCCTTCATTGTAATCATCATATTCTCCACCATCACGACCACAGCCCTCCCTACCATATCCTGGTTCACTATCATCATAGCCTCTGCAACTATAACTAGAACCACCACCATAGTTGCACCATCACCTCCAAATCCATTATATTCACTGTCACCTCATCCCCAACTACCTCTGCTGCCACACCTCCACCACCTTAACCTCCTCCACCAGTTTCCACCACGGCTGAAGTTACCACCACCACCGCCACCTCTTTCAGTTTATGACCTGTAGTGTTGCCAGATCCACCTCTATACCACCTTGTGGTGATCCAGCATACTGCATCTCTTGTTTAGAAGGGGCCTTTTTCACTTCACAATATGCCCATTAATTGTACGTTATTTCTCAGTAACAATTAAAAATATATATATTACGATTATTTTTACATCATTTCGTGCATTTTCCATCTCAGTTGTAATCCCTTTGGGCTTCTCATCACCAAATCACCCATGTGCCATCACCATAGTCCAGCGTACTTCCCTCCCTCCACTGTTCTTGATCCCATTCCCCACTCCACCCTATAAAATGTCTGGTATATAGCTGTTCATTATTATTTTTTTTTTTTTGGTCTGGTCCAATATACTCCTGCTATCTCAGTAACAATTTTATCAACTCTATCATTATGGTAAAAAATTTCACAAGCAATTCTCTTTTGTCCAGCCTGCCTGTCTTCCACAAATTCTTGATTTCAATTTTGCCATACTTTTCAAAGTAGCCTCTCAAATTACATTTGTCTTTAATAACACCAACAAAAACATACTGTTAAGTGGGCAACAGGCATTACAGAGTCCTCTCTAGAAACAGGTCTTTGATTCCACTACATACTCATCAGCCAACCTCGTGTGGTCCAATTAGCATTGGTGCATCGACCTCTTCTACACAAAAGTCACAAAACTAAAGTGTCCAGAACATTTTGTCTGGGGGGGGCTTCCATCACCACACAATATAAGTGTGCTCCACTTCTCAAAATGTTCTCTTGAAACTATTATCTGGTGTTTCAAACCTCAAGCTACCAATAAGTAGTTTTCTCAACTGTTCTGCTTCCGCTGATCATGGCGTCCTCCCTGCACGGTTCCAGGGCTGGTCTGAGTGGGGCTGTGGGCTACGGGATGGAGGGTTTACCTGAAATTTAAGACCCTACTCGCCTCTTCCAACTTTTTATTACAGATTTCTTCTAAAATACACCAACCATTTGGTGATGGGAAGCCCATGGAGATTACAACTGAGATGGGAAAAGGCACAAAATGATGTAAAAATAAACTATTATATTATTTTTTAAAAAT